GAGGGAGGGGAGGCGAGGGGAGGCGAGGGGAGAGGAGGGGAGAGGAGGGCGGACACACGCGCGTTGGAGCTCGGGCTATGGGGGGGCAGTCCAGGCGCCGCCCGTTCGGCCCGGCGAGGACAAAGGCGCGGCTGGGGACGAGCAGGAGGGTGACTATTATTTTGCAGCTCGCGGTGGGGGGGGAGGCCCCCCGTCCCCGACCGAGCTCGCCTTTACCTCCCCGAGCTGGACCCTGCAAGGCCCCAGCCTGCCAAGGCGGCCACCCGTCTGTGATTTGGGGACGCCGAGGGAGGGGGCCCGGGACTGGGGTGCCGGGGGCACCGGGACTGTTGATTCAGGATTCCGGGCCAAACCCTGTAGATTCCACGGATCATTGGCAGCGCCCCCAGTTCAGACTCGCTGGCCGCCCGGCTCTGGGGTCAGCAGAACTGCTCCTGCATGCTGGATGGGGGTGCTGGGGGTCTCCTGAGGTGATGGGTGCGTGGTCACCCAGGCCACCGATTCTGTTTTCCTTTGTGGAGGGAAAGAAAGAGGTGGGGGTTATTTATCAGATCTGATTCTCCCATTTCTGTGGAAGAGAAATTCCTGTTTGCAAGTCTCTGTGGAAGGTAAAACTGTTTGTGCCTGGGTGCTTTTGGAGAGAAGATTCCCAGGCTCCCCTGAATACCCAGGCTTGAAGTGGGGTGAGCCCCCTCCCCAACTTTGCCCTGAGTTTTCTTGTATATTTTCTTGGTGTAACCTCGCTCAGGGAGACAGATTTGGAGAGAACTGAGAAGGGGATCCAGTGTCTAAGTTGCTTCCAATAAATGCGTGTGTTTGGGTCTCCTTTCCTTGTGTGTCTAGGATGTCCCTTTAATTTTCATTTTAATGGTCCATTGACAAGGGCCCTGGCCCTGGTGTGTGTGTGTGTGTGGGGGGGTGCAGTCAGGGAGAATAAAAAACAAAACAGAACAAAAACTGCCCATGTGCCGAGCTAGTTGAGAGTTTGCTAATATTTTTGACCAGCTGAAACTCCTGGATCTTGATGTCCGCTTTTTTTTTTTTTTTCACTTTGTTTATCTGTTCCCCCTCCCCCATGGGAGAAGCCTCCAAAGAACTGGAAAGCGTCCCCCATTCCTGAATGAAGCCTTTCTCCTCCCTCTGGGAGGCTTTTTGGGAGATGGTGCTAGGCTGTCCCAGGGACCCTGGCCCCGGTGATGTGTGTGCGGGAGACACTGGGGGTCCCTGGCTACCACAGCAGTCTGGGGTCCTGCAGAGCTGTGTGTGCACAGGCTTTCCCTTTCTCTGCAGACACCCAGTGATTGGGGAGGGGCTGGGGGTCATATTTATGTAAGACACTCAGACAGAGGGCACGGGTATTTATATAACCTGGCGTGGGTATTTATGTAATATAGGATGCGGGCATATTTATGTTTCTTTCCTAACCTGCGGCTGTCCTGGCTGCCGTGTGTGGTCTCCGAATTGCTGTTGGCGGAAAACGGACTTGGGGGGTGTTGATGTGTGCACATCGTGTGCTCCCCCCTCCCCCGGCTGTGTGTGCGCCTGTTTTTCTTTCTTGCCTTGGCGTGCACACATTTGTGAAGCTGTACCGTGTGTATATGGTTGTGTGGAGTGTCCTGCTGGCAGCGGCGACACCTCAGCTGGGCAGGTCAGGCATGTGAGCAAAGGCCCTTGACTGAGGGCCAGGAGTTTGGCTGGCACAGGTTGGCGCCTGCTTCCTGTGGTCGAGGTTTTGAAGGTCTAGTGGCGTTCCCAGGGAGTGGGTGCTGAGGCTGGATGTCTCTCTGGGCAGGAGCTGTTGGCTCCCGGGCCCTGCCCAGGCAGGGAGCTGAGGCCCGACCATCCGTCCGTGGAGTCAGTCCTTGTCTCTCTTCCTGCGTCGGCTCGGCCGTTGGGATAGCACTGGGCTTGCGGAAGGGGCTCCAGGGGCCTCCAAGCTGACACAGCGGCTTCTCCATCTTCCTGTTTTGCCTCCCAGCCCTGGCATGAAATAGGCCCTGCTTGGGAGCGTGGGAGGCCATGATGGGGCAGTGGGAACCCTGTCCAGGTTCTAGGTGAGGCTCTGCCACTGACTTGCCACTGGGTGCTGCGGGCAGGTGGTACAGCCTCTCCGGGCTGAGTCCCTGTGTGCAAACGGAGTTCCCTCTTGACAGTCTCCTATGAGGAAGCTCTCGTAAACATTCCACGATTGCAGGGATCCCCTTCCCTCTGCTTTTTTTAATAGCCAATAGTCCCTGTCCCCCAACCGCTGAAACTGCTCCCAGACCTTTGAGTTTTCTCTGCTGGCCAGGAGCACAATGTTCAGGTCTTTGCCTCAGGCCAGAGCAGGACGGTTCCTACCAGGTGGACCTCAGGAAGGAGGGGAACTGCTCAAACCAGAACCCTTCCATTCACAGGGACTGGAGGTTGGAGACTTGGCTTCAGTCCCCTGAGTCGCTCTGCAATGGGAGTGACTGGGAGACCTTCCCTCCTCATCGAGACAGATGCCAACTCCAAACAGTACATCCAGAGGCCTGTACAGAGAGGCCTGTGTGCAGTTCCTGGGGTCATGAGGTGGAGAAGGGGTACCAAGGTTCTAGATACCCCTTTCCTGTTCCCTCCATTCTCCAGTGGGGGTGAGACCTACCCCCTGCAGGGCAGCCGGTGGGAGTCGGCAGTGCTCCGGAAGACCAGGTCAGACTGGGGGCCTGGCCTCCAAGTCTTGGTACTAGAATCCTGGGAATAGGGATGGGGCACCCTGACTTTCAGAGGGCAAAAGGGGTGGAGGAGCTCCTTTGGGCCCCTGGAAGTTGGCCCTTGCTCGTGGTTGCCATGGTAGTGCCCCCCAGTTAGCTCCTGGCCCTTCTCTCTGTCACCCCCTTTCCTCAGTTTTCCTTTCTGAGTCTTGGCCTGTTGTGGCTCCCACTGGAGGGTCCCAGAATGGGTATGTCTTGAGATGCTTGGCTCCTTCCTCTGGGGCCCTGTCTCTAAGTCCACCTTAGACCAGCTAAGCTGCAGCCTGTTCCCCACCTGCCTCAGCTCTTCCCCAGGTGTGTGGGAGTGCCAGCGGAGCTCTCTGACACCTGGCTGCCCTCAGGCAAAGTGGGGCCAGTTGTCTTCCTGGAAGAGCTCCTTGGTCTTCCAGCTGTGGCTTTGCCTACTTTTGGTCAGGGCTGGGGCGGGGGTCCGGTCGGTGAGTCCCTCTCAGCCCCCGTTTCTCTGACCAGTGTTTCTGCCTCTGCAGCAAGCGTGAACCATGGAGCTGCGCGTGGGGAACAAGTACCGCCTGGGCCGGAAGATCGGGAGTGGGTCCTTCGGAGATATCTACCTGGGTAAGTGTCCCTGGCTCCATGTGCTCCAGGAGGCAAGATCCCAGGGTTTGGGATCCAAAGCCAGAACACGACTGTAGTCGTGTGATTCGTCCCTGGGCCATCTTAGGTGGGGTGGGAATGGCAGGCTAGGGTGTGGCAGGCCCGGTGAGGGGCTCCTCTCTCAGGCAGGCGGGGCTTGCTGCAGGCTGGCCAGTGAGGGTATTTTTAGCCCCATTGCAGCTGCAGCTGACCTGGGTCTCCTGCTGGGCGTGGGAAAGCCCAGGCAGGGTTAGCATCCCTGTCTCTCCCCTCCTGGGGGAAGGATGCCGTAGGCAGAGAAGAGGCCTGGGCTACTGCTTGACCCCCAGAGAGGCCCCGTCCCTGTGGTCTGGCCCCCTGGCAGGCAGCCCAGCCCGGCGTGCAATGACACAGGCCTCCAGTAACCACAGGGAGGGGGTCTCCGGATGTGTTTCCTGTTGGACATTCGAACTTTCTCTGTTGTCATTTGAAGCAAATCACTGAGGCTCACCCCCTTCTTGGCTGGGGAGCAGTGAGACTCCAAACGCTGCTCTCTCAGCCCACGGAGGGACCGGTCGTGAGTCACGGCCCTTCCTTTGCAGTCATTAGTCTGGAGGGGGTCACGTAGTGTTGGTGATTTCAGGTTGGAGGGTGGGGGCTTCGGGCTATTAGGGCATGATGGCAAGCCGCCCAGCTTTGTCCTCATTCCTGTCCCTGCACCCTTGGAACCAGGCTAGACTCGCCTCTGTATCTCTGTTTCCCTTCTTGGAAAATGAAAATAAAAATAAATGAGTTCATCTTGGGCAGAAAACACTGACAAGTCAGTGTGCTGTGGTCACTGAGAACTCGGGGCTTTCTCTCACTGGGGGGCCAGGTGGTCTTCTCAGTCCTCAGGGGCGGGGAAGGGATGTGCACGTGCCCTGACTGTTCCGCTGCGGGGTCACTTCTGTTTCCCTCACTAGAGTTGGTGCCAGCTTATCCCCGATTGACACATCAGGAAACTGAGGCAGCGCAGTGTAGTTGGCTGCCAAGGTGGCTCTCAGAAGGTAGCAAAGACGACCTGTATGCCCTCGGTCCTCCACTGCAGTAAGAGAGTGGAGAAGATAACATGGGAGGGAGACGCCAGCCAGACCCCGGCTCTGGACCTCGCTCTGTGTGGCCGTGAGAGTCAGCCGTCTGCCCCGACCGAGCCTCAGCCGTGCTGCTGCCCGCCCAAGCGCTGCACGGCACAGCCGGAACGGTGAAGCCAGCGGGAAGCATTTTGTAACCTGTGAAGTCTTCCCCAAGCCCCTGATGGATCACTCTCCTGCCGGCCGCCCCGAGGGTCAGAACTGGGAAGCGGGGAGGGCAGCTGGGGCTGGTTTCCACTCTCTCTGACTCTGAGACAGGAGAAGGTTGGGAATGGGGACTGGGCTAGGCTTCTGTCCTCCCTCTCCTCATTTGTCGTGCTGTGTTAAGTGACTGTCTCTCTGGTCCTCTGTATTTAGATCTGATATGGGGGTACCCATCTTCTCGCTGTTTGTGATATTGTCATTGAGGCTCTTGGGCGAAGGTCATGGAGGTGACCCTTGACATAGACCCATATCTCCTTGTAGATAGGACTCTGTCCAGGCCCGTTTTTGCAGAAGGGAAATGGGGTCCACAGAGGAGGAGGGGCAGCCAGGTCCTCCGAGAGCCAGTGTCCCTGGTTCATGTGGTAAGACCTCCCTGGGGCAGGACTTCCTGTTTACCCACACGGCATCTCCTTTGTTTTAAAAACTAGGTCCCGATTTCACTGTGAACTGGCTCTGGAGTAAATTCTGTCCAGGGTTAGGGGCTGGTGTTTTCCTTTATCAGCTGTCCGTGCTCTGTGATGACCCCTGCAGCCTGGGCTTCCCTATCTGGGAATGGAATCCTGAGAGGTCCTAGGGCAAGCAGTAGTGTCTATGCCGGGCACACCCCTGCCCCACCCGCCTCGGTCTTAGTTGGGAGTTGCTGCTTTCGAAGGATCTGGAGCTGGTTCTCTCCTGACTGTCCACCCTTGGCTGGGGGTACAAGGGTGTTTGTTGGAGGCCCTGCCTTGATAAGTTATCCTTCCAGGGGTCCAGCCGGTATGTGGACAGTGGTGGTAGAGCCTCCCTGGCCGGCCTCCCTGGCTCCCTTTGTGCAGAGCTCTGGCCACATTCTTGTTGCCCATGCCCAGGCCAGGGCCTGACTCCAGATGGCCTCTGCAGGTGGGGCTGGGCGGCCGCGAGCCCTGCTTTCCAGGATCATTGAGAGCAAGCACGCTGTAGCCGCCAGGCCCACTGCTCCTCCAGCGCCTGCACCCGTGCATCCTGAGGAACTCGTAGGAGAGTGGGGCCCCTCTGTTTAGGGCCTTCGTCTGCTGCACTGCATCCATAACAGGACACCCAGGCCCACTCACCAGCCTGTGTCCGGCGGGGTGGAGTGCTAGGCCTCTTCAGTCCCTGGGTCTCTGCTCTGAAAGGGGTGGAAACAGTGCTCCCCTCACAGGTGGTTCTGGGGGCCAGAGTTGTTGGGAATGCGCTGCCGGGAGCGAGGGGCCAAAGTTGCTGCTGCTGTTCTGTGACAGTGGGCTTTGCCAGCCCGCACCTCCAGGTCTGCCGGCCCCTGCTTGTGTGTGTGTGCAACTCTGTGGGTGTCTAGGGTAAGCCTTTGGTAGGGGGGCTGGTCACCCCTTCCCCACTAGAACTTCCTAAGGTCCCAGACCCTCCACAAGGCCGCTGTGTCTGTCTGATGGGCCATGTTCTATGCCTGAAACTGGACAGTTCCCCCGACTTGCAGGCCCTCTCACCTCTCCCACGATCTGGGCCCAGGGGGCCTTACCCACCATGTGCCTCCATGGCTGTCCTGCCCCGTCCCTCTGCTGTTCCCCTCTTCAGTGCCAACCCTGACATTCGGGCAGGCCCTCCCACGGGAGAGCTGAGCCCCAGGGCAGGGCTGCCTCTGCTGGTCCAGGGTTGAGTAAGGGGCTGATGATCAGCTGAGAGGTGAGGGAGTCAGAATGCAGGGAAAAGCAAGGGCTTTGAGGACTAGGCTTCACATCTGCCCACCGGTTCTGACTGCCCTGGGGCCAGTTACTTCACTGTGAACCAGCTCAAGTGAGAATTAGGAGCCCAGAACAGACATCCCTGGCGGAATCTAGTAGAGACCCAGCAGAGGTGGGGCCCGCTTGGGGAGGGACTGTCCGGGTTGAGCCCCCAGTGGGAGTCAGGAACCGGCACAGCTTGGCTCCCTGTCCCTGGGAAGCCTGTGGCATGTGGTCATTTGAGCTGTGAAGTCTCTTCTTCCACACGTTGGGTAGAGAAACAAACAGTAGTACTTGCAGGGTGGCGTGGGTTCGAGGGGCCGAAGGGCTTGGCCTCCCCCACCCCCACATCTGCTGAATCACCAAGTGCTGGGCCCTGCCTGCTCAGTCCCACTGTCTGCACCTGCCTGGGCTGGGCCAGCCTCGCTCTTGCCTGGACAGCTGCAATGGCCTCCTGGTCTCCCTCTCCCCCTTTAGCCTTCTCTGCCCTTTCTCCACCAGTGAGTCACAGTGGGAGGTGACTCTGGTCCCCAGGGCACGTTCGGCAAACTCTGGAGACCGTTTTGGTGGTTGTAATGGGGGAAGTAGGGATGGGTAACTACTGGCTGCCAGCAGTTGGAGGTCAGGGTGCTGCCAATGCTGTGGCATGCCTAGGACAGCCCCTCCAGGCAGGCGTTACGCAGCCCAGATGGCACATGCCAAGGCTGGGAGACGCTGTGACCACACACCTTACCTGGCCACCTGGCCGGGATCAGAGCTGGCCACTTGAGACCCATGTGATTTCGCCCCACCCCACCTCTTTCCCTGTCATCTTCAGCTGCCCTGGGTCCCACTGCACCAAACCCATGTTGGCTGCACTCCTGCCCCCCGCCACCTGGCCTTTGCACGTGAGGGACCTCTCTGTGGCACATCAGGGGACCCCCGGGGAGGTGGGGCTCCTTTCCCTGTAGCCTTGCTTAGTGTCTCTTCCTGTGCTCCACTGGCTTGTGTCCGCTGGTTTCTCGGCCCTGGGCCTGGTACTCCTAACTGATGCGGGGCCCCTCCTGGGTGCCAGAACCACCTAACGAGCTGGGCAGTGTGTTCAGCTACCAGGTGAGGTGCCTGGGACTCAGGAGTGAAGTGACTTGTCTGAGCTCCCCTGGTTAGGTAGGGGCAGAGTCAGCCCAGTGGCTGGGCCTCCAAAGCTAACACTTTCTGTTTTTTTAGATGATTTATTTTATGTTTATTTCTTTTATGAGAATAAAGGAGACAGAAAAAGACAAGCCTCCCCAACGAGGTCTCCACCTCCAGCCTTCCCGGCCAGCCAGGATCTTGGGCACATGTGCCGGAATTCGTAGGCCACGCAGGGGACAGAGCACACCCTCCTTGCACACACAGCTGTCGTTGGAGCAGGTCACCACCACTGTGCCCCTGAGCCCATGGTCACTCTTGCTTCTTGTGCTCACAGGGAGGTGGAGCACAGCCGGGGGACTCCACTCCCCTCTGGTGCCACATCCTCACTGTCCCCCAGAAACATGTAGGCGTTTTAGTGTGCAGGGTGCTTCTTCTCCCATCCTTCACTGGATCTAGTGATCTATCTTGGTTTTTTATATGGTTCAAAAATCAAAATATACATACAAAACCAAAAATCAAAGTATTAAGTGAGGAAAAAAAAAAAAAAAAACCAGCCACAGAAGATAATAGTTTCTCTCGAAATGTCCTGAATTGGCAAATCCATAGAGACAGAAGTAGATTAGGGGATGCCGGTACGCAAGGCATGGGGGCGGGGGTGCTAAGGGGGCTGGAGGAGAATGGGGCGTGACTATAAAGGGTGTGGGTGTGTTCACAGTGATGAAATTACTCCAAAATCGTTTTGGGGTGACGGTTGCACAACCATGTAAACACACTTTTAAAAAACACGGAATTGTACACTCTGAGCAAATTGTATATGTGAGTTACTTCTCAATAAAGGTGTTGAAATAGAGCCCAACGCAGC